TTTGGAAAGATAAGAACGCAAAGAGAATAAATAACACAAAAGAAATAGTCACTTTAGTCACAAGAGATTAAATGTAGGCTTAAGTAACTGTGCAATGTCGATCAACAGTTTGTCTTAGGGTATCGGAATATATTTAACTAATTCAGAGCAGTACGCTAGAAAGAAATGTCGGGTGCAGTCAGTGAGGGGGAAAAAATCAAAGAAAATTATGCATCACCCCTCTCCGACCGTTGAATCCTGGAGGACCTCGGATGTTTGCGTCCATCTGCAAATACACAAACATGTGATTTTTTTTCAAAATCTTTAAACAATTCCTGCAACTATTTCGTCGGCCACCTTTCCATATGAATTAAGTTTTAAAAAAAAGACCAAAAAAACAAGGATAAATAATTTTTCAAAACCCACCATAATATTGCAGTTTTTTACATCTGTGGTTTTGGTTGCATGTACGAGCATCGTCGAAATTAAAAACTATATGTTAAAAAAACCCCCAACCAAACAAACAAAGCAAAAAACAAACAACAACATTCCAAAATTGTGTAAATGAGGGCGTAAAATATCTCAGCCGATCTCATGTGCAGGTTATAGGGGAAAACTAGTGATGTCAAAACATTTTCCTGATGAAAATTTAGATCCAAGGACTTCCCGTTTATTTCTAGTGCAGAATTCATAGCTCACTGTGCGGTTGGTTTAGACATGTTTTATCTTTTTATATCACCACCAGTGGCGGCTCGTGGTTTATAGAACTGACCGGCGGTCATCCACGTCGACTATTTTTCCCTCCCCCACCCCCTTCCTTCACAACACACACACACACACACACACACACACACACACACACACACACACACACATACACACACACACACACACACACAGGGGCGAAGGCTGACTTGTTTGACAGGGTAATCAAAGTGAAATGGGACCAGATAGGGCCTGGGGATATCACACTCACACAAGTCACAAGAATCTTACTGGCACTGGAGGCGGCAACTCTGAGTTGTGAATGAAAACAAATCCTGAATTCATGTTGTATGCTTGTTCAACCGCTAAAATAATCGGGAAAGTATTTCATTAAATATTTATTCTAACTAACCTTAAGTTTAACTTTAGATTTGAACACACGAACACCAAGGAAAGAAGCACAGATGTCAGCACTACAATGGCATGTTATACGAGTACCAGACAGCCGAAACACTTTGGTAGAGCACGCCAACTATCAATTTTTTTATTTCACATTTGGCTGTTTTTTGTCTAGCTTTTCCCGGCCAGGAGCCGCTGTCATAATCTAGGTCACGATCTGATTATAGGACATTAAAAAGTCGAGGATAAAAACAAGCACTAGCAGTGTAGTAGCAGGAGTCAAAGGATTATTAGGAGTTAGTTCCCCTCACATCTGTGAGGTAGACTCGACCAGTGTAATAGTTCGCTCAGATAATCAGCGCGTCTGGGTGCTTATAAAGTGGCCCGATAGGGGCGAACAGGCTATTTCTGTGGCAATTAAACGGTTTTGAAGGTTAGGCATAGTCTATTGTTCATTGGTGATTATGAACGTCTTTTTACATTTAATTTATGAGGTTTACGTCTATGGGTGAATTTGACTGCGACAATGTTTCAAAATTAGGAAGGGAAGCAGTGATTATTTGATTATATAGACGCTTCGCCTCTCACACACACACACACACACACACACACACACACACACACACACACACACACACACACACACACACACACACCACAGTAAACATTGTAATAATGTGAAAGAGCTCAAATATGCGGTAGCGTCAAGAAACAATATTATGAATAATGTAAGATGGAAGTTACTGAGATTAATAGAAACTCACTTGATCGGCACAGAAAAAGAAACACACTACTTGAGTCTAAGCTAGAAAACAAACAAAGTGAGAAGCAATAAACCGCTGGTCCTGGCCTCCAGTACAGTACTTTACTGGTACTTTCTACACCCCCACACAAAATATCGACGTGCACTGAACCCGTTAAATATGTGTAATAATATTAGTAATAAGAACTGTCCTGTGTATGATGACAAAAAGTCAATTGCTACTGTACCAGTGACGCTGTCCCAAGCAGATCAAGTCTACAGTCAGATGCTATACAAAGCTGGACAAAGCACACACGTTTCCGATCATTACAATATCATCCAATGTACTTCATCGCACTTCTCAGTTCTCAGAACTGAACACTGAATACTGTGTTGTAACAAAGTGGGGAAGTGTGTCAAATGCTAATTATAGAACTTGGTGTCTAGCTGGGGTGAGGGTTGAAAAGGGGAGGGAAGGGAGGGGGTTTTCGGCCCAGACTCTGACAGCCGAGTGTCTATCGCTCCTCGTTAGAATTTTCCTTATATATCTTCACTAGACGATTCCTTCTTTCGCCGGCCAGACTCCTAAGAGCCAGATAAGTTATTAGTGGGGAGAAAACGATGAGTAAATGCCAAACAGGAACTATAGGTGGTTAAAAAGTCAATAAACAAAAAAGAGTAGTGCCATGCTGACAATACATGTTCTGATAGTAATTAGAGAAAGGCTGAATGATAAATGCAAGTTTTGCAGATAAAATAATACATGTGTCTGTACTGCTCAAGACAGGCTCATTCTTAATTTTGTAAGCTACAAAGAGGCCAATCTGGCAATTAAGGGATATACCAATCTTTCTGTGGGCTGACGATGGATTTGTCCATGAGACTGAAGTCATCGCTAGGCCAAAGCCAAGCCCGCCCTCTGTTTGGCTTCGTACGTAGTACGAAGTTCCGCGACGAGACGGTTTGACGGGAGATGATTTAAAGTTACGAGCCGGCGCGATAACAAACATGAAGGAATGAGGTTATGTCGCGACAAAACAGCAGTGAATCACACTTGTCTATTTGAGCGCCTTCAAATCGGCTAGGTGTTTTTGAATGTTGAAACATGTTTGTTTGGATTTAGAATCTACTTAAAACAATGAAAATCGTCATCAGCAATAAACCTCTAGTCAACAGTTCAGTTGACAAAAATCTGACCGGCACCGCCGGTCTTGCCCAGTTAACAAACCGCCCCTAATCACCACTGTGTTTCACGACGCCGATTTGAACAAAAAGACCAGTTTGGCCACCTCCAGTTCCCCCCTGCAGTCTTTGTGTCAATACTAACCTCATCAGTTGCCGCCTCCACGTTCTCCTTTTCGACAATAGCCATAAGAGCCAGACAGAGAAGCACGGAAAAGACACCTAGCTTCATCGTGGAGGTTCTGAAATATCGTTGGAATATCGTCACAAGCAAAAGAGATAATAATTTGATCAAAGCACTATGGTGGCGTCCAAAAGAAACATGAAAATAATATATTCCCCCCAAAATAAACATCGTTTTAGAAAGCTTAACAGATTCAGCATCACATGACATTAATAAGACAACTTCGATAAGAATCGCCCGACATACAATCACTGAAAAGTAACCGTTAAAACTTAAGACTTGTCAGAATTTTGTGATATCAAAGGAACTTTTACTTTTAAGTGTGTTTTTATGCGTGTCTGGGGGTGCATCAACCGTGGTGGAATGGACATATATTGCATAACGGTAGGGACGAAATCAATTGTTTAAAAATTGGTCAGTGTTTTACTGCGCTCGCAACTGCATAAGGTCATACGAGCGCGCGGTAGGCTACGCATTAAACATTTTCGGTTGACAGGAAATTTTGAAATTTGCCCGGGTGGCGGCCGTAGCCTACTCTTATCGATTTTATACCACCAAGGGATCCTAGGTGTAGATCTTTCCAACCAGAAGATCAGGGGTGTGGCTGAAACACAGCAGTAAGAAGGAGTTAAGGAGTAACAGTAGAAAGGCTCCAGAAAGATTCAGGAGCCCAGAGGAGGGGGTAAATGGGGTGAGGGGGTGGGGAGGAAAGGGACGAAAGCAGACTTCAGAACTTTGCTAGAGAGCAGGATAGGAAGTGAAAGGAGACAATTTTAGAGAAGAAAATTTTTCGGTCGCTATCATGCAGGATTCGAACCCGGAACCTTTGAATGAGAGGCGAACACCTTAACCTCCAGGCAACGAGAGCCCCCAACAAAATCAATGGTTCAACCCACCCCCGCCCCCAACCAAAGAGCACATAGATTCTAGAGTAAGTCTAGATCTAGTAAGTCCACGTTTTCATGGTATTTGTGATTCCTCATCCGTTTGAAAATATCGACAGATAAAAAAAACTTTTTTTTTCATTGCAAAGGCGACACTATTCTCCATTTAATGAAATTTGATATTCAACACATGCCCATTCCACCAATGTTGATGCATCACAGTACAAGCGAGAACACACAATTTTGCCAAATCTGCACTTTAAGGTTAATTTTGAGTGAACAATCTCAGGTGTTATTTTGTCAGACGGTGCAGGATTTATTTAGATCTAGATCTAGATCTAGATCGTTTTAATTAATTGGTATGCTACACGAGCGGATAAAGTATAACGATAATTGGGTGAACACATTTTCAAGTTTCCTTTGGACGCCACTGTATATATAAATATATAATATTATATCATAGTATACACATCTTTGTTCTGTACTTCCCATGAAAAACAAACCAAAGAAAAAGAAAACAAAAGACGTCAAACAAACCCAAGTGTGAGCCAGATGTTTCAGACGACTTGCAAGAACCAAAGACCAGCGAGCAATGACCGGGACAAAAAAATAATTTCGTTTGATAGATCTACTCCACAGGCCTGATGTTGTCACTCAAGCAGGTTCCGCATTAACTCGATAGTTGGATGTGCTTGATCAGTTCTGTTATTAGAAAATCTAAAATGAATCGGTCGTCCGTCCTGCGTCATCTTATCACAGCGTCCATAGTGTGCTATAATATTTATGTGAGACGAAAACAACACCTGGACATGGATGGCTGGTGCCTCTATAAATATATTATTATTGATGGTCTACACTATAATGATAATAATAATAATAATAATAATAATAATAATAATAATAATAATAATAATGATAATAATAA